CGGTTCCATTTTAGGTCTTCCGATAATAAAACATCGCCCGTTCCTAAACGAGTAAACATCCGGGCAGACGACGGCTGACCATCTTGCACGCTTTCCGACTCTTTTTAGAAAGTTTTCCTCACAATTTCTGACTTAGGGTCGTATAGGTCGTCCGTGATGTCTCTTTCACCTGAGGATGGCGTAAAGACGTTAAAATACCCCTTTGCTATTTCTTATCCGGATTACAAAGAACAAAAAAGAGCGTGAGTGAACCTGTCTGTTCGATTGAGTTCGAAGTCACGTGTGGCGTCCTGTCCATTCCTTTTTCCAGAATGTTTTCTTCGAAGCGAGGCTGCACGTAGTCTCATTAGAGGTCATAAAACGAAACATGCTTCTCCAAGCGGAGTACGGTTTTCTTTTAAACCACATAAGGTACAAATGTTCAAACGAAAATTAACCTATATTACCTAATTTATTTAAACTTTTAAGAAGAGAAAAACAGATTCAAACAGCAACGTAATGAAATATTTTCGTAATTATAATTCAGGAAATTTATTGTTTAATTAAGAAACCCACGACCATAATGCAGTAGTCTGACACCAAAACAGCGACTCTTGTTATATTCAGATTCTCACTTTACAAGTGTTCATCTTTTCAGTGCAAACCATGCTGGTCCTGCGAGGGTTGTTTCATTATCTTTCCAGCCGGACGGCCTGTTTGCACAGGACTGGGCTACTGTTTGTGATTCACCCTTTCCAAATAGCGTCCAAGAGACAAACTCATGGAATATGAAATTTTCTTACATTGCGATTTTACAAGTAAAACTGGAATCGATTTGGATCGTTCTGTTTATGTGTATGACCATCGTTAAAAAGAGGCTTACAAATGAAATTATATTAAATATGTAAATATATAATAAAATGTTTTTTTCAAAATAAAGGAATATCCGATAATCATGGCCCCAAGAGACGACATGAACAGGATGTCAGAGAGAAACCCCTCTGTTGAAAACGGCACCATCATATGGTATCGTGATGACCTAGAACGCAGGAAGGTACGGTTGCAGGAGTATTTGGTTCTGGAGCAAATACTCAAGGGAAAACAAACCAATATCTTCTAGCTTTAAGTCCATGCAATTGAGATATGTACCAATTCAATCTGAATAAAGGGTATAAAACCAAGGACATAGCTATCGTGTCAGATTGCCAAGCAGCCATCAAAGCACTAAGTTCCAACATCAGCTCAAAGATGGTGCTGAATTGCAAAATTTAACTAAATAGATTAGGTTTGAAGAAAAAAATCATCCTCTTGTTCCAGAACATGTTGGAGTTGAAGGCAACGAGAGACCGGAGTCCTTGCAAGGAAAGGGGCGGCCATACCGCTGATAAATTCAGATCCTTTCTGCGGCATAGGGCACTATCAAGGAGTACCTTAGGCAAAATAACAAAATAAAAATGAAGAAACAGTGGAATTCACGCACTGGACATAAACTCTAAGAACTTTTGGAAGTTAAGAAACAACCGAATGCATCAAAGTAAGCAGGAAAACTTCGAATTCTAACAGGATTCTTAATAGCAAACCCAGACTGAATGGCATCTGAAGAAGATTGGAATAACCAACAAAGCACATGCATCTTCTTCAAAGAAGCAGAAGAAACACCAACACCTAGGAACAAATTATGGTGCCACATTTTCCGCAGGAGGAAATGTTTTGGGTACAACGTAACCGTATAAGAAATTCAACCACTGAAACCGGGGCTACTTTTCCTTAATAAACTAGGACTCACCGAAGTACAGAATGGGGGGAAACAATAGCTCTTAATGACGCAGTATATATACGCAGTCAGACTAATACATCTATCTGTACGTTTAATCTGTCTAAGTTTACCAAATTAGCACGATGACATGGCATCGCTTAAGGCTTAAGAAACAACTTAACTTGGACAACTAGGGAGAGTTCTAGGACGGAATTCATTTCTGACCATACAGACATATTAAGCAGAACTGTGCGGTTCCATTAAGCAATCCAATCCTGTCAATCTAAGTCCAAAGACGAATTTTCAAACGTCGCACATCTTACAATCCATTATTTTCATATTCCTGAATTAAACGTTCCTGTTTCTTAAAGTTCCATACCAACTTCCCCAATCATCTTAACCGTACAGCTCAGGGACCGCAGTGGTTGGGTGGTTTGGGCATCCGACTCGTATTTGCCACGTAGCTGTTTTTGGTTCGTCCGGGGTGAACTAGCCTTTTAATCTGTAATAGTATGAAAAATGTATTGTAGTGTTTTAACCCATCGTCCGCGATGCTCAATGGGTAGTTGGACCTTTTATACCCTCATGCATGACAGGACTAATGACTTCGCGTACTGCCCAAGCCCTATATACATTTTTCCTAACCCCGGTTGGCTACTCATAACATCTCTCCGGTGCAGTGCAGGCCATAGTGTCAGAGTAATGAACTAGAAAAACCACAATATTTGTAATATGCATCATACGTTCAGGCTAAAAATCAATTTACAAAAACAAATTAATTTATTAAAAAATCGTAATATTTCTTAAATCCTGACGAGAAAAGGCTAGATTTAAAAACGTGTTTGGCCAATCGAAAAGCCTTTCTTTTCTAATATACTATGTCCGGTTTCTGAGAATTACAACTTGGCTACTGATAAACTGCGAACTATAGGCTTGTAGTGGCATAATGCAATTTTTCTACGAAGAAATGTCAAAATAATGCCATTTATTTACTATATTGGTCCTCCGGGCCGGATGATACCGATTTGTTCTTTAGGCTGGTTAATATACAGAAACTTATCTTCTTCTTAACAATTATCGAGAGAAAGAATCATAAGTGTGTGAATGAATTATTTTATTAAACTTGCGATTAAACTATAAACGATAGTTGAAGGTCAAAATTCCTCCTGAAATCCGTTAAAACGTCCTAGCGAATATTAATGCATTAACGCCGAATCCTCAGAAGTAAAGGAAGACATTTATCATATCTCGATTTCTCGTCTTGAAACTTGATTGGGAGAACGTTAGCTACCGCGGTCGCCGTCTCGAGATAACGAATTATCCCCTTGCCTAGTCATCGCCTCAAGCGGACAACAGATTCGACAGCAAATTAACTATTTTTACCAATTTTCACTGATGGCCTGCACGCTAACTAAACTGCCAAACCTATTTCCCTAATTCGTACTTAGAAAACAGACAGGCCGACTTATAATTTACGATCGAGAAAATACAAATTAAATGCATATTCTAACAGGACACTACAAGGCTAAAAAAGTAGGCGAGAGTAGGCGGACACATTGATGGAAGTAATCAGTGACTGTCACTAGATCAGTATAAATAAACATTAATTCTCTAACAATCAAGAACCAACGCACAAGGGATGGAAATTTGCACAAAAAATGGGCATTGTCATTAAAAAGCTATATATATTACAAAATAATAAATTTGAAGAAAACCGTCTCTAAAAATAAAAAATAAAGAAATATCAAAGTTTAACATACAACATTGGGTAGAAGAGTCTAACAGAAATGAACAAATTCAAGGTGAGATTTAAAAAATTAAAGAAAAGAAAACAATGTAAAAATTACTAATTCAAATATCTAGTATAGCAAAAAGCATTTTTTTAACTTCTCCAGGTTGGACTGTCAAACGCGTTTCGGCATTTCGTCATCTTCAATGTGTCTGTGTGATTTATGTGATATCAGGTTTTTTATGAATCATCTCGTCAGAAACACTGTAGATGGCGAAAAGCCGAAACACGCAAGACAGACTAAACCAGCGAGGATGGGCAGAACAAACTTCAGATTCAAATCAATCTTGCTGTATAATTCAGCATTACAGATGCAACAAATAAAGCAAGGGAGTTAATTTTTTTTTTTTTTAAATCCAAGAAAAAATAAAATGAAAAAGGCAGATATTTTTACATTGAGTATACTAAATGGTCTGTGCGTTGATCTTCACTATAGCCTTCGTTTTGACTGCCATGACTTTCCTGGTGAGTAAACAGACTGCTGTTTCTCTAGTCACAACCCCTAGCTAACACTTATTTATTTTAAAAAAACCTTTTTATTTCACATGCAACATATGGATTCTGGGGCAATGATGTACTGAAGGTTTTCCTACTTTAAAAGAGCTTATGCCTGCGACCACCGAGACCATTTTAAAAGTCTTACAAGAGATGACCAGGTTGGAAAATCACAGATCTGGACCAAACGTTTTTTAGTGATTCTACGCTCCAAAATATCGGACAACTTCTTGTGAATAGGCCCTGATTTCGCGAAAAAAATTTAAAGCTTTCCTTTTTTACTTATTTCGCCTTTCTACTTGCTTAAATCAATTATGTGAATATATGATTTTTTTTATGTACATTGCCATAAAAATATAGTAAAAGCTATCAAAGTTTATCAATAACGAAAAAAATTCTAAAACCAAATATTTTTTCAAGTAAACTACGTTGTTTTTCGTTAACTAAAATGGATTTTCGTTTAAACACCTCTAGAATCCCACAAATATAAATTTTTGTTTGAATTTAAAGTTATCGATTTTTTACTTCTAAAATTTTTACGATTGTTATGAGGTCCTTATCGGAATATCTGATTGAAACGGCTATAATTCAAAAACGGTTTAAAGCATCTTAACGTCCAAGAAACCAATTGAAAGAAGAGGAACGTAGCTTTTAAGGTATGTAGCATTAAAATATTAATAAAATAATAAAAAGAAAAGCGATTTCCGCAAAAGTCGGTATCTAAGGGTATTATTACTCTAGAATTGATAATTCGTTTTAATGAAAATGTCAAGTGCATTTTATAACTGTATCAAACATTAAAATCGGTCTATTATACCATTAACATGTCCTGCGAAAATGTTTCTATAAGAAAGTACACAAAATAGCAAAATTATATGTCAGAACTTAACCACTTTTTTTGCTATTTATATAGTATGATACTTTTAAGTAAAATTTAAACTTTTTCTAATTTAAGATTTTCGATTTGATATAAGTTAATGGAGAAACATGTGCTAATTGTATTCATCTTAACATCGCAAAAAAATTCTAAATTATCGTAAAATGTCATTTTATTCAAATAATTACAGAATATTCTCAATGTTTATACTTATCCTTTACTTCGCGACTTTGAATTATGCGAAACGTGAGGCTGACGTAGGGGAAAGAAAAGCGAACGAGAAGGAATATCCCTATGCTATATACATCATCGATTTAAAAAGCAACATCGATGGGACCGGCACTCTTTTGGCCCCCGATAAGATCGCGACCGCGGCTCACGTCGTCGGCAGAAGGTTCAAAGTAGAAAACGCTGAGTTGATCGGAGGGGCCGTATACGCGGATAAGCCCGGTAAACTTGGCTATCAGAAAAGAAACGTCCTGAAGTTCGTAGTGCACCCGGAATACGAAAAAGTTAAAGAGCCCCTACATGACGTCTGTTACATTTTAGCCAAAGCGCCCTTCGACATAAACGAATTCGTGAAACCGGCTCCTTTGGCGGCCTACGATCCCGACTCTTTCTCAAAATCCTGGGATAAAATAGTCGCCAGCGGTATAAAATGTTACGGCGTGGCTTTCGTCAAGAAACAAGGCAAAGAACTCAAGATGGTCAGGATGTACAGCCTGAGTCAGGAAAACTGTGAAAAGTACGCCGGGAAGGAGCAGTATGACGTCGGTATTAGGTGTTTGATTGCTTACATGCCGGAAAACGTTCTCTGTTCCGGGGATTCCGGCGGCCCGCTCGTCTGCGACGGAAAAGTCTACGGAATATTCGCCGCATCTTCTGGTGGCTATCCGGCAACTCCGGGCCCAGATTCAGTTGTTTGCGATGGTGTGGGTGTATGGTTTATGTATAACACTTATGGGAAATATCTTAAATTTTTTGACGCAAAACCATGGTCGAGCGGAAATTTGCCGACTCCCACTTTATTGGCCATCGCCTTCTCGGCCTTAGCACCACTCCATGGGAACTTCTTCGAACGCGGTTTTGTGGATCATTAAAATTAACACTTTCATAACATTTTGTATTTTAATTTTGAAGTGTCAAAAATGATCGGAATTATTTTTTTAATTTAACATACATATGGCTGGTACATATGTTTTCTTATTTCATTGTAATAATAGTTTAGATTATTTTAACTAAAGCACTATGAATTAAGGCCATGAAGCATGGCAAGTACTTAAAATTCTTAAGTTCTTCAAGCTCTCAATTATAAATATACGGTTTTTTATCACAGTCAGTACTGTGCACTATTGACATTATCCAATGTGAAGATCCACAAGTCTTTAAACACTGACTGCAAAAAATTCCACCCATTGATTCTTTTTCTCGTCTCATTTGAATTCTGAAGCAATAAACCTTTAGTATACATCTTTGTTTTCTTAATTTCAATTTATAAACTTTAAAATGCCACTTAGTGCTGGGAAAGTTGCGCGTGGTGTGGCACTTACTGGTGCTGGATGTTCAATCAGTTATGCGGCTATTGCCATCGGAGTTCCCTACGAAACTCTGCGAAACGTCGTTAAACGTTTTCAAGAAGCTGGGTTTAACCATAGAAGGGCCCGGTTCTGGATGCCCTGTGGTAACTGAACCACAGAATGACCATTTTTGACAAACTATTTGCGAAACGAGCGATTCATCAACTCCAGGAAGTTTGAGGTTTCCAAAAAACACACTGCTCGAAGAAGAATAAATCAGTATGGACTCATGACTTTTCGCTCCGGAAGAGGACCAGAATTGACCAGAACACACAGAGTTGCACTGTTCGCATTTGCTCGAAAACACAGCCATTGGTCTTTGGACGATTCGTCTGCTGCACTTTTTACAAAAGAGTGCACATTAGCTCTACGATCCCCAGATGGATGTGAAAGAGTGTGGAGAACCACTCGCTACGAGGATGAAATTTTGACACATCATGCGATGCCATAGTATATATTACACAGGGCGGGCGACCAGGACCCGAGGGGTTAAAAGCCTGAGTAGGCCCGTACCCCATCCCTAGCAGGTCCGGGACCTGGTCGGCTCACGAGTCCTGTATAAACCTATTGGACCTATTCACAAACCCCAGGATTGTGGACCATTTTATCCTGGGGAGTGTTTTGGTTATGTCCTCTCCTTCGAAAGTATTAAATCTTTCCCTAGCATACCTATCGCATTCTGCGAGGTAGTGTCGGGCCGTTTCTTCTTTTGTTTCGCAGAAGCGGCAGAAGGGGTCTGGTAGAGTACCCATTATGAAGAGGTGTCTTCTCAAGGGGCAATGGCCCGTTAGGATACCTATCAGCCTCCTTATTCCCCTCCTAGAGTTAGAGAATAGCCATTTCGATTCTTTAGGTTTGATTTCCTTCAGAAACTCCTTCGATTGTCTGCATCCTGGGGACATATTCCATTCCTTTAGGAATTGTTTCATGCCCCAGCTACCTATACTCTCTTTTGCTGTGCTTAAAGAGTGGGGTAATACCGGTTGTGGTCCGACGAACTCAGTATTTGAACCTTCCTTGGCCAGGCTGTCCGCCTCCTCATTGCCATAGTGCCCCTTATGAGCAGGTATCCATACGAGGGTTACCCTATTCTCATACCTGGTGATAGTCCTATTAATGAGTTCAACGGTTTCCTCTACCAGTCTAGATGTTGATAGTTCTTTTTGTAATGATTTTAGACTGGCCTGACTGTCGGAAAAAATTTTAATATCTTTTCCCTTAATCTTGTTATCCATCAGTGTTCTACAGCAGACGCTCCTTGGATATCAAAGAAGCATCCTAAGGTGTACTCATTATTGTATAATGATTTTTCAATCCTTCCTACAAGTGTATGCAGAGCAGTTTCCACTGATCTTCCTGGTAAATAGGCATGCTGATTAGGATGTATCAAGGTATTGATACCACAGTCATGTCTAATATATTTATCTAAAATTTTCTCTATTATTTTAATGAAAATAGAAGATATACTTATAGGTCTGTATGATTTAGGTAATTGATAAGAGACCTTACCTGGTTTGGGTAAGAAAATTACCCTTGTTTCCTTCCAGCGTTTTGGTATGTACCCCAACGCCAGACTACTCCTTAAGAGATCCCATACAGCACTGGATAAACCAGGTGTATCCTGTTGTAAGAGGGCAGGAAATATTCCATCCATCCCTGCAGCCTTGAACTTCTTGAAGGACCATACCGCCCATTTGTATGCGTCCCAAGAGATCACTTCATATGCCTTCCTCCAATTCGGCATAGGTGTATTATTCATGGTTTGGGTGTCGGAGGAGCCTGAACTTGGGAAGTGGGCCCTTGCCATAGTACGAACGTACCTTCAATAACATAATATAAGGGTCTTAGCCTGGCCAGCCCGTTCTCCAGACTTGAACCCCATCCAACATTTATGGGATAACCTCAAAAGAGGAATAAGAGCACGTCCATCACTTCTTGAAACATTCCACGATTTTGAAAGGACTGTTCGTGCAGAATGGGCTAATCTCCAGCAAAAAGGCATTTTCAAACTGGTAGAAAGTATGCCGAGGCGTCTTCGGGATGCAATTAAGGCAAGAGGAGGAAATACGCGATATTGAAATTTTAATTGAAAATCTAAAACAAAAATAAAACAATTTTATGTGTCCTTTTTTTAAACTTTTATTTTTCATTTTCCTCAGCAATTTACATTTTCTTTTAACTTTGTTAGACAAAGACTCAATTATTAAACGTTAATAAACTTGAAACTTTGATTAATACATAAAAATATATACAAATCAAGTTAAATTACAAGTGGGTGGAGTATTTTGCCTGTCAGCGTAGTTTCAGATCGGAGCTAACTAGGAGTGTCGTATAGCATACAAGATGATGATGATATGATGATAATGGACACTAAGAACTGGGGGTTTTCGATCCCCAAGCACTGCAACCTTCTGGTATTTGTACTTCCTATTTTCTCAATTCAATGCAATCGACTCGATCCTTCTTCTTTAACATGCAAAGGATCAGATATATAATCGACGGCGTATGAAATAAAGATGCAGAGAACAATAGTTATAAACAAAGTAATAAATGTCTGTTGGATCGTACAAGAGATTATTTTTTCGGTGAATTAAGAAAAAAGGAAACCCAAAGACCTTAAAGTTGGAATCATTTCCATGTGTCCGACGTTGGACACCTTGGAACCAGGTGGAAACAACAGCCGCCGAAGGGATTGATCATCTTTTAATGTTAATCCCCTCGGATTTATACCCGGGGGTACAGCCCGTTAATAGGTGTTTAATTCCCCGGCCCCAAGGAACGGAACCAAATTTCTCCCACGGGACATGATAAATCTCCAATTATCGAGTTAATAGAATCAGAGTCGCCGAGGGCCACAATTATAACGTCGCGGGATTTATGATCCCAGATTGGCGTACAAAAGTTGAACAAACACTGGATCCCATTCGACGGTAGGGAATAAAAACCGTTTATTGAAGGGAGGGAGATGAAAATTTTAAAATTCAGATCCGCCAGGCTACTACAACTCAAATACAACAAAAAAGGTTCGTATGAACCATAGTCCGATTCTCAACCCTTTCACAGATATGCTACGTTTTAATTCCCCCCCCCCCAAATATCTAAGGTTTTCGTCATAAATCTATTTATAGCTCTTGAACTATTCATTTTTGGGGAAATCCAAAAAGAGTGTGAAATTTCCTAAGAAAACACCGTTTTGGAACTTTTAATTTAACTTTTGCTTTTCGGCTTTTTCTCTCCTAGTTTCAGGAATCTACACCTTTAAAAACCCTCGCAGAAACATAAAACACTTTCTGCGGTCTCCTCTTTTTCCTGGTAGTGTCAACACAGTGTTTCTTCCTCCTATCGTATGTACCTTCTTAGGCCATAGTACCCTGTCAGGAGTCCAACAAGAATCCTGGTTCTGCTGCGGTTACCCTCCAGTAGTTCCTATGTAAGTGTTTTGGATGGCCTTTCTAATTCGTTTTGTTCCACAAGGTTTTGGACTCATTAATGATACATATTTTATCCTTTTTTTGTTGCAAGGTTCTAGGCCACATAGGGTTCGGGCCTAGAGAATTCATATTGATTTCTTTGTTGAAAATTTTTCTACCGTACTTGTTAATGATGCTATCCGTCACCATATATTTTACACGCCATATACACCACTTTTATAAATATTATTAAGGCAAATTAATGAAAATAATTCGTGAAAGTCTAGTGTATTTAACCACTTTTGGTTTTAAGTTGACTGGGTTGTGGGAATATTTCTTCGTTAATTCTCACAAAGGTGGACAACACAGCGCGCAAAGTTGTCTAGTATTTCAAGTATAAAATCCTATTTATGAAAAACGGATGAAATTACTAACTTTTAAAGCATAAAATTAAGCAATTGGTCCGAGCATAGGAGGGAGAAATGGTGATTCGTATGATTCATCGCCTTGCTTTATAAGAACCTACAAGATATTTCTATTTCGACACTTTTTTATTGCGCGTATTTTGAATATCACACATGTAGCATTGGAGGAAAGGGGTAAGCGAACAAGTTCCGACGAACCTGGGTCAAATTTAACAAAAGGGTAAGGGGAGAAAAAAGCGTTTTACACTGTCGTGATTAACTATTCAACTACCCTCTTGCTTATGCAAATCGCTTAACCCTGGGGACTAACAGATTTTTTTTAACCCAAAGGGGGGAAAAAGTTGGTAATGAATCATTAAACAAAGGAAAATTTCATTCTAATCCGATTCGTAAAGTTGAATAACCATACAAAAATTACACCCACCTTAGAAAAGCTATACAGGGCATCTTCCGTTTTCCGCAGGACGTGGAGAAGTACGGCTCGTATCAGAATCCATACATCGAGAAGCTTCTGAAACAAACGATATTTGTTCAATGGTAAACATCACAATTGACATCTTGCACATACAGGATCATCACAAAACAAGGCAACTAACTATTTAGGATCGAACAGTAGTTAATAATAATAATATTTGAAAAGATTACTTGTTTAAACTCAAAGGGCGCAATCCTTATGAACGATGTTTAAAATGTGTGGTGATTAGTGA